CTGCCATGAAAATTATAGAAGGCAGAAAACAAAACGTTAATCATCAGATTAGAATTTCCGCAACCATGTCCGCACTAGCTGAGAGGTAGGTGAAACGAAGGACCAGCATGGTGTGGTGGTGAACACGTTACTCCCTTACTCCTCGGAAAGGACAATAGCGCTTTCGTTTCCCACGGCAGACACCTGCTATCCGGAGTTTTGCAAACATCTCAGCAATATTGTGGTTGTATTTCCCTTAATACTCTGCCATAAAAATTATACAAGGCAGAAAATAAAAAGTAAACCCGTTCGGACTGTTGATTTATCAACACTACCTTGAACTCAAGTTTCATTAATGTTTCCAGCCATCTGTCAACTACGATCGAGTTTGAACTCATAAAAGAAAATTTGAGGAAATTTCGTTTTTAACATCCAAAATTGCAAAGCTCAAAATCGGTAAAGAAAAAGTTTAAATTTTGATAAAATGCAAGAACAGGTTAAAAAGGGCATAAAATCCGCTTTCTAATGGTATGTAACACTGCGAGGCATAAAGGATATTTTAATGATAAGAATGCATTAAAAAGGATTAAGGATGAAACTCTTGGCGTTGACCAAACCCCGAGGGAAGCGCCATACAATCGACTTCATTAAGTATCGTTGAAGGTGATTGAATGCATATCTGGTCTTTACAATGGCTCGCGGTGGCTTACCGATGTATCGAACCAATGCTGCTATCGTCTCAAACAAGTCTAGTACCAGTTTGCCGACCCCGGAGGGATGGAAAGCTTGGCGGGCTATGGGTGTGGGGATCGATTCCACGTGTGTGTCGAAGTGGCGCCTCCAACCATTGCGCCACATGCGTCCTAAAATGCATTAAAACAATAAATATTTTAAAATGGTCACTTATTTCTAAACATTTTAATACGAAGTTGGTGTTTCTACCTTCTCAGACAAGTGTTGGAGGTGTTGGAGGTATCTGCCGACCATAAAGTGCCCAGGACAGCGATACTTCGAGGCAGCTTTTACCACTGTGCTACAAGGTCTCATTCATTTGTTGTAGTCTTGAAAACTCTTCCTTTCCCAATGTGGAACGGCAGAAGTGATGCCGCACACAATTGCGCAGTTTCTTGTGAGTGACGAGAGTACTGGCTGGTTGGTTCGATTCTAAACACGACGCAATTATGCATGACGATTACTGTCTTTAGAGGACACGGGCAACATCGTTTTTGTCGACACAAAGAACGACGTCGAGCGATTAGAGCAAACGAGGCGGATCAGCGTCATCAAAACAGACGTTGGTTGTTTCTCACTTGGTGCCTTGAACTTTGCATTGAATGTTGCCTTCTGTTCAGAGTTGCCATCGAGTTATGACAGAGATCATACGTTGCCAACGAAAAACATCCATGCTCATTTTCGTCATCTGAACTCATGACGATATTCTTTTGGACAAGACGTCATCGCTCATTTACCCGACACGAATTGAGCACTACTAACTTCACCCTGAGTTTCATTCATCAGGTTCAACCAGCTCTTCATTCAAGAAGTGCTATATTGGTACACACATTCTTGAGCACTGTCTTTTACCAAGATCACTATTCTCTATCATTCTCAATCATAAGTAGTTAGGAAAACCTTTAGCGGAAATGACCATCGTGGATATAACCCCTCCATTCCTTCTTCTTACAAGCGTTCTTCGATTTCATTATGGAATCGACCGTAATGGACGTGTTGGACTCTGCCATACCTTTTTAGTAATAAAAACCCAAGCTAGTGCTGCTCATCTAAAAATATAGTCACTTCCAGAACTTTTTGTTTAGCTCTTTCAGATGTGCTCGTTCATTGCCGCGTTGTATTTGGTTGCTTTGTGCTCTCCATGGGTCATCTATCGAAGAAGCCAAAAGAAAAAACTCATTTGCAAAGTGCGTTTCTCTTCAGAGAATGTGACGAAAAGGAATATTTGAGTAAATAAATCAACTACAATTATGATAACTATTTGAGGAGTGATAAGGATCGAAATACATACCCTATATCAACATGAAGAATGTGGTTGTTGGGCGGAGTTATATGCATAATTTTGCAACCACGATACTCCCATTATCTCTTCCGGAAACATCATATCTAGTTCTTCTGATACATCCATCTTCCAATACATGCAGATTAAATCCGATTATCGAATTTTCAACCAGGGTTTTCATTTGTCCCTCCTAACGGTTTACCGCCTCGTTGCTGGGACGTGTTCCTCGGTGTCGGGCTGCGATGTACAGTGGTGGAATTCATCCCACTGGCAGGGTCTACCAAGCTGAGAAGGAGTCCGGCGTTTTCGTCAAGAAGCCTAGCTAAGAGCAAGCCAATGCCAGAATCCACAGCCGTCCCGGTATCAAAGTTGCATGGTGGCAAATCTCCCTCTGAACCACAGTGGCGGCGACTCCCCGTGGTGGTGATGGCCAGGTTAACCTCGGGACTCCAGAGGACCACAATGTCTTAGCCTGCAAATTTCTGAAAGACGGAGGTTATGCTGGGGGCAGCACAACCAGTGAGGACGGGAGATTCAAGTATGAGGTATCAAGTAAGTTTTCATTTGTCTCACCACTTTCACCATAGTCATAATCGAATGTCCTGGAGACATAATTCTTAGCTGTATAATTGATTTTGTGTGGAACTAATAAGTGGATATTTCGAAAGATTTTCTAGAAATGAGTATGCGGTAGAGTTAATTTGACTAGAAGCTATACCTACACTGTTCATGCATACGAAGAAAGAAATTTATTGAACTTTCGCGCTGATGTGACAGTGGGAGCTTCTACGACTTTCTACGCTAAAACTGGAATTCAGTTGCCGGTGCTTAAGTGTTGAAAAATATCTGGTGGTTGAGAAAATGAGCAACTTTGGGTGAGAAACTTTATAAGGACTTACTTCAGGAAGAAATGATTCTGACGAACAACACCATCCTGGACTATTCGTCAGAAGATGCTTTTATGAATATGAGCAGACGAAGAAGGGACATCGTACTCGATCCGACAAACATGGAACCGGTCATATTTCTTGGTGTGAGTTGTTTCTTTTATCTCTTAAAGGCAATTCTTTTCGTAAGCTTTGCAAGACTGTTTGAAAAATACATCGACTCTTAACTTATCCACTTGTATGGTCATATTTTCATTTCATTTCATCACGATCGTCGTCCATGTCTGTGGTCTCTTTCGGCTACATTGACGTCGGCTAGAATCCATTCCAGGTTTCCATGATCTTTTTCACTTGCGAATAGAGATGATTAACGCGACGTACAAAATGACTGCTTTTCTCCTAGACGTAACAGCTCAGAAAATTTATGTAAAATACGCCAACGCTTTGAAGAAAGCGATATCTCTGAAACGTTATCCACCGAACCATCACAACAATAACAACAACAAAAGAGGTTCGTATGTTCTAGACTGTCTTGCTGAGTACCCACACATCTTCTTGTGGTTCGACCTAATGTTCTTCTCATGAATCTGTCACAAAAACTTTTTTATGACACAACCAGCATTTCCCGTTTTTTTTTCTGGCACATCTCTCGTACGTCACAACTACAAAATTTCTCGAGAACTGGCTACTCATTCCGACATCGTGTCGTATGGGCTGGTTATATTTCAATAGAAAATGCTCAGCTGCTTTGAGTATTCTGTCGACGTGATTGCGCTACTAGCTTATTCTCAGTAACGTATTAGAAAGATGCGAGGATCTCCAGCAATTGGAGTCTATTCCCAGGCGTACTAGAGATACTTTTAAATAGGATAAAGATTTTTTCTTCAATCAATGCCGAAGTTAATAGAAAGTCGGAGGTGAGAGTTCATTTTTTGTATCTTGGGGAAACCCTTTTGACGATTGAGAAAAGATCTAAGTCTTGATTGGTAAACTAATAAGCATACTTTTCAAGTCCAACAAGCAGCTCTTACCAAAGACAACTTCCTCTGAGTTTTCGGGCTTCTTTCCAAATTGCGTTTAAATCCAATCTTATTCTGCGGACATAAAGTCAGCAAGATTGTTTTAATTCTGATTTGGCTTCCTTATTCGGAATGTATCGATTCTGTATTCTCTTTATTGAGTTTCCCTATCCTAACGTTGAGAATTTCGTCCCCGAGAATAAATTCGTAGAAACAGTATTCTTTCAGTAACTCCCACGTCCGACTTTCTATTAACCTCGGCATTGATTGAACAATTCTTTCCACTTCTGTTCAGCAAACGCGAGGTGTTATTATTCTTTATTCACGAATAGGCTAACATTTAGGCAGATTTCGCCCTCAGAACCTGGAAAGGTTAAGTTGATAGCAATCTACTCGGCCAGACACCTCCATAACCAAACAGAGAAAACGCTAAACCAAGATTTCAATCACATTGAACACTGCTTTGCACACTCACCGCTTTCTATGAGTCTTCCACTGAGTATGTCGTGTGAAGACCAACCGCACAGAATTCACATGGAAGCGTAATGTGCTCTTCCTATCAGAATAACAGGTTTATATACTGGCCAATATCACGCGTGATAATGAGGCATTCTTCCCTGCGGTTCATTTTCGGATTTCTGGAATTAATCCAGAACGCCTCGAGAGTTTTGCGCGCTTCTGTTCTTGATTCCTGCGCGAGGATCGTGACACGTACTTCAAAGTCCTCCCCGTTATGTCTCTGGGTCCTATGCGTGCCTAGCGGAGTATTTGGTTTATGTTTTCCGGCTAGGTGCTCTTTTATGCAGACACAGAGGGGTTTGCCCGTTTCGGCAATGTATTCGTCACCACACGTCTTAAAGGAGATCAGATAAACTATATCCGAGCTCATGCAATCACCGTCTCTACCACTGGGGCAATTTATGCAATTTTGCGTTGCACATTAAAAAAATTTTTAACCCTAATATTTAACCAATTGTTGAAACACATTTCAGCCCATCTTACGAATACCCAAGTGTTTCTGGATCGTCTACGTACTGCGCAGCCCAGCAGCGCGTACATGATGGAGTCCTTTGACGTTGCCGCCCTTTATACAAACGTGTCGAATGACTCCGCAATGCAAGCCATATTCGAACTCCTACTACAACACGAAAGAGAAGTAAACATGTATAGCTTCAAGACAGAGCAGTTGATGGCACTCTTAAAAAAATGCCTGAGCTGCTCAATCTTCACATGGTCCGGAAAGTACTACGCTCAAATAAGAGGGTTGGCAATGGGACAGCTACTGGCGCCAAGTGTTGCCATTGCGTTTACGTCTAAGGTGGAAGCACCAGTGACCGATCTGGGGCCGTTATTCTACTGTAGATATATAGATGGCTGTCTTGTCCTTTGCTCAACACAAGAGCAAATGGACAAATGTTTCGAGTTGTTGAACAAACAGTCAGAGTATATCATGTCCACCCGAGAGAAACGAAAAAAAACTGGCTTCCGTTCCTGAACGTCTAAACCTGTCAGAAAATGGCTACATTAAGAAGTGGTACCGAATGCGAAGTAGTAAAAGCGTCTTGGTTCATTACCTCTCCTCTCACCCCTCTCACACGAAAAGGGCGCTTGTAAGAAACATGTTTCGAACAGCAACCAACGTGTGCACGGAAAAAGAGCAGAGAGAGGAGTCCCGGGACATGGCACGGCAAATAGCCATTTCCAATGGCTACGAAACTGTAGCTCGGGATAGGTCTAGAAGAAATCCTAAAACCCCCAAACGACAATTCTAGCGATAAAAAGGTTCCGTTTATCCTACCCTTCATCTCAAATGATGTAAGTGCAGCTATAAAACGCTGCTTAAGAAAAGCGGGTCTAGAAAATTCGGTAAAAAAGTAGTTGAAATACTACCGAGTAATCTTAGTGGCCAGCTAGTTCGAAACCGCTTATATGACCGTCTATGTGCAACGCGAAATTGCTTAATTTGCCCCAGTGGTAGAGACGGTGATTGCATGAGCTCGGGTATAGTTTATCTGATCTCCTGTAAGACGTGTGGTGATGAATACATTGGCCAAACGGGCAGACCTCTCTGTGTCCGCATAAAAGAACACCTAGTCGGCAAACATAGACCAAATACCCCGCTAGGCACGCACGCATAGGACCCAGAGACATAACGGAGAGGGCTTTGAAGTACGTGTCACAATTCTCGCACAGAAATCGAGAACATAAGCGCGCAAAACCCTCAAGGCGTTCTGGATTAATTCCAGAAATCCGAAAATGAACCGCAGGGAAGAACGCCTCATTATCACGCGTGATATAGGGCAGTATATAAGACTGTTATTCTGATGGGAGGGGCACATTATGCTTCCATGTGGTTTCTGTGCGGTTGGTCTTCACGCGACATACTTAGTGGAAAGCTCATAGAAAGTGGTGAGTGTGCAAAGCTGTGTTCAATGTGATTGAAATCTTGGTTTAGAGTTTCTTTGTTTGGTCATGGAGGTGTTTGGCCGAATAGGTTGCTGTCAGCTTGATCTTTCCAGGCTCTGAGAAAGACGAAATCCGCCGAAACGTCAGCTTGTACGTAAATAAAAAAATAAAATAGCACCTTGTGTTTGCTGTACAGAAGTGGAAAGTATTGTTTCACATTGTTTACCCAAATGATACCTTTGCAGGTGAGAATTAAGACAAGCTTTCTAGATACGAGTAAAAGGCTCTCTCATATGAGTCGACGAGGATGGCAATAGATGGATGTACTACAACCCAATCCTACAGATACGTAGTAAAAGGATTAGTACATGCCAGTGATAAGGACTCTGCTTTCTAATTTGTGTTTATCGGTGTTCTGGATCTTGCACTTTTTTGGAACGACCACTTGTGACTTAATATGAGCTGCGACCTATAGAAGATCATAGAGATCGGCATCAAAAGAAAGTAAACTAGTGTTATAGTAACAGAACATGAAAGCGAGATGTTAATGTTGTGTTGTTTTAATCTAGTTCCGGTGACTTTTTTGAAGCCATTTTTACTTCTGACCTCACGAACGGAATCCGGTGTTTTTCTTTGTGGATATGAGGAACATTCTCAACTTGTGACACGTTTTCAACTCCAGGGAGCTTACCTGCGCTGGTTTACTTTCAACTGGGCCTTTAGATGGAGATTTATAATTCATTTTAAGCTTGGAAAAGCCAGCGAGGAAGAGATAAACGTTTCGTCCCGCAATTAAGTACTTTTCGTGGTTAGAATATAGACGATGGAGGTGAAAATAAAAACATAATCCTTACGAGCGAATTTAAATCGTTTAGCTTGATGAAACAGGCAATAAAGTGGCTGCTTAACCACCATTCTACTTTAAATCTGTTAGAGCAAGATAGACAGCGATGACAGCGAGCTCAGAAGAATTCAGATATGTCCAATCTTCGACGATGAGCTAGTTACTCTTTTCTGGAGTCTAGGCCATTTTCAATTTCTGTAAACAATAACAGTATAGTGGATGAAACTATAAGTAGATAACATGAAATAAGTAATAAATAACAATAGAGAAGGGAGGGGCGAGCTATTTAAGGTCTAGAGGCTGAAACAAGTCTGGCCAATGTTTGGCATCAATCCCAATGATCCCATGACCGACTTTCTGTTAACCTCGGCATTAATTGATAATTCAATGTTTTTCATCAATAAGCAGACACGAGGTTGTTAATATAGAATTTATTAGAACACAATTGCTGACGTTTCGGCGG